GAATTGCCCAAAACGGCGCCAGCACATGTACAGTACTCTCACGCTAATTAGTATTTACAATCAAAGGGAAAACCTCGCAATAAAAACCAACAACAATAAAGGGAAATATACAAAAATAAACATTTAAGATCACTTTGCAAAATGCAAAAATATACATTTCTTTAATTTGAATTAAATGTGTGTCATAAAAGCAAAAAAATTGCATTTTGTTTGGTGATTGTGAGACGTTGCAAAAGCCTCTTATGTTTATTATTCTATTTACTTGGGGAAAATATTCAGTTCGAGTAATGGTAATGATTAATTTAAACTGTATTTATTATTTAAATCAATAAAAGTGTTTCATAAAAGAAAACAAAGTAATCATTAAATTTTCTTTGATAATTTAAAAACATTGCAAAAGCCACCAATTATTTCTTGTATGTTTGAAACTTGAGGTAAATATTCTATTTGAGTAAAAAATAGAGAGAAAGCAAGAAAGTCTGACCTCTCACCTTTTATATTTAATACTTTCCAAATGGATTCTTTTGTTTTATGTAAATTAAATTGCATTTGAGGTTTTCTTTCGTTTCTTCTCACCATTTTAATTTAAAATAAATACAACCTATTGTCTTCTATATATATTTTGCGCAAAAATACAAATGAAGGAAAACTTTTGCTTTCACTGATTTCCCGCAATGACATTAACAGACATTCTTCGATGCCATCTCGTCCAAATAAATCCCCCCCCACCAAAGATTTCCCAGCGACATTTCCTTTGATCTCACTCGTTGGTTTCCTTCTTTTTTTCGAGTGGTTTTTATGTAAATTTAGGCTGCTCTCTCGATAAGCGATAGATGCTATTTTTGGACACAGGTGCTTGAGCACGCCTCAGCCTCAGGCAAGGTGAAGAGGAGGATGAGCAGGAGGTGGAGGTGGAAAATGGGGGCGTGGCTGGACAATATTTGCGCCACTATTTTGCAGCTATAATTCACAAAACTAACTTTCCTGGTAAGGGAGGATTACATAAATCAACATTTTGCTGCTGGCCGAAAAAAGCGGCGAAAAACTTTCGAGCAAACAAATATTAATTTTAACTTTTGCGCGGCCAGAAAGCAATAACAAAAACAACTACAACAACAATAAAAACAACAACAAAACGAAGCCAAGCGAAACGAAGGAATAAAAACACAAAAAAATTAAATAAAATACAAAGAGAGCCAAGAGAAAGAGCAATAAAATAGCATTCAAGACTTAAAGCTTTAAAGGACGATGCAAATATATGTACGTACATATATATTTAAATGTTACACTAAAAAAAAGAATTAACTTTCTAGCAGTATAGATTAAATAAATTTAATAACTTTACCACTGGCTTAATAGATTTCTTTCAGTAATTTTAAGCTCTGAGAAGCTGAAAAGTTAGAAAGTTAACATTTTAACGACTTTAAAGGGACCCCATTTTTCTGTGCCTGTTGCCTTTGTTAATTTGCCCCGTTTGCCCATTTGAATGTGCAGTTTTTAATTGTTTTTCAACAATATTTTCTGGCCAGGCGCAATGTGAATTAATTGCGCGCGACTCTGCAAGGAAAATGCGAATGTCCAGTGGTTCTAGCCCCCTGCCACACCCACACCCACGCCCATGAGTTTTCCCAGGCCCATCATCATATCTGGCCGTCTCTTTCCTGCCACTTTCCCCGAGAGCCTCGCGATAATTCTTAACCGCTTGTTTATTTATGCGGCGCCGGAAAAGCTGGGTACGCCTGGGAAAATGGGGGAAAAGTGGGAGCAGAGTGGGGGAGGTTCAAAGAGGTAGAAAGATAATGTGCTCACATGTGTGTGTATGTCTCTGTGCGAGTTGGCGCCTTTATTTATGCAGCATGCATTTAAAATAAAATAAATATAAATTAAGCATAGCCAGAGTCCCCAAAGGGAAGGAGAAGGGATTCCCTTTTGAATGCAATGGATCACCTCTGGCAGTTTTCCTCCTTCTCTGGTTGAAAAAACCCTACAATTAAGGACTCTCTCTCGCTTGGGTCAATTGGAATATAAATATTTAATATCGCTTAATTTAACATGTTTTCTATTCATCAAAAATAATTAATCTAGAATTTTTTATAAAAACAAATCAAATATATGTTATACATGGTCATTGAGTGAGTAATCCACTATTGGTGGCTAAATAAACGTTAGCAATTTAAGCCATTAAGCAATGACAAAACAATTAACAAAATGGGCAAGAAAAAAATAGTTACATACACAGCGGAAAACGTATATTAACTGAATATTATTTATTATAAAATCTGGTCTTGAAAATATATATTAACAAGTATATTCTCTACAAATTTCTCTATTCTTGGACTTGATGGAAATTTTTATATATTTTAAAGCTAATCTTTGCTCTGATTTTTCTCTGTAAAACATTAGCATTATCAAAATTAAAATTACACATTTCCGTAATTAACTGTGGCATTATATTTTTTTTACTCTTCGGATCAATAATATTTATTTGCTTAATGAAAAACTAATGTGTTTGTTTTTTGTTCTAACAAGTTAGGGCATTTAACCATAACTATCTCTTTGGGCTTTGAGTTTTTCCACCTCCCACCGCAGAACTTTTCATTATTATTCAGTTTTTATTTTTTTTGTGCAGCGCTTTTCTTTATTGCCGGGATAGTTGTGCGGCGCCATTTTGTTGGCTTGCATTAATTGCAATGCAAAAAGGCAACGTCGCATAAATTTCTCATATTTAATTTCGCCTGAGCTGCAGATGGAACCGCGGGCCGCGGCCTTCTGGAATACCCCTTTACCAAGGTGGGGGCGGGGCTGAGGCCGGGGGCCAGTTTAATGCACTCTGTTGCATGTGGCACCCCCACACACACTCAGCTATGAGAGGATTCGTTTACATTAAATTATTTATGCACTCGACTGTGTGGGTGTGTGCTGCGGCTTGACAAAAAGATAAAGTCCAACCAAGAATGGAATTATAAGATTAAAGGATATCCTGGAAATTACAAAATATATATTTTATTAGAAGAAATAATAAGGAAGAGGGTACCATATGGTTAAAGGATACCCTAAATCTCTGTATATTTCACAGAAAGTAGATTTTGTTAAAAGAAATAATAATACTGAAGTGAGAAAAGCTACAATAACTTAATAATATATTTAAGAAATCAAATTTTAGGTAAAGTTGGTCTTATTTCTAAAAATTTATATAATTATTATTATTATTAATTTATTTTTACACTGTATGCTTAAATATATTCTAAGCTACAGGATAAATATTAGCCATAGCTCAATGATTTATTTATCTTATACCTTTATAGACAGGAAAAAAACAGCTAGTGACATTTTATAGCATACATTTGAGCAACATTTGTAAAGGATTACAAAGCCACAGTAATTTCTGTAGTAACCCTGGATAAATGCTTAATTCAGACATATTCATATTTCAAAATATATAATCTTTAGCTTTTCTAGAACAAATATTTACAAAATTCTTGCTTTCCAAACCAAAAATACCCCTCAAAAATCCCAAAGGGTACACAGTAAAAAATAGGGGTGGAGAGGCTGATCCCAGCTGCCGGTGTAAGGATCTCCCTTAAGCGCTCCCGAAAATGCCGTCCTTGGGCGTCACTTTAATCTGCAGCCAAATGTTGACCACATAAAATTGGTGAACAAATGTGCAGACATTGGCCATTAAGCAGTGTGCTCAACTTGAACTTGGCCAAAAGGAGCAAGGACTAAGCAGGCAAGATCCTTGACTTTAGCCCCAGTCCCTTCAACTTGGCAACTGACTGTCCAATAAAATGTCAAAGAAAATGGCCAGAAAGGCTTTTAATTGTAATGGGAATGGGAATGGGATGGAGGGAAAATGTTGAAACTTCTTGCGAGTCCTGCTCCTAGGCTGGTCTTTTGTAGGACCTCGTAACAAAGGGTTTCATGAGCGTTTAATTGTCGGTAATTAGCTAGATGAACAATGGCCAACTTTTAGTCGCCATGGAGCAAGTTTCAAAGGCACAGAATAGAGAGAGTAAAAGGATAGCAGATGGCCCGGTTTATACATCTATATATATATAGTAAGTAAGAAATGTCTGGTCTATAGAGTGGGTGCAAATTGCAATTTAGTTTCCATTTCTTTTTTTCAACCAATTTAAAACACCTCCATAAACCGCAATCAGCCAAAAGAGAATTGTCATTAAAAATAACCAAGTAACAATAAACCCAACTTGTTAAGAGCGAGTGCCATTATAATTTACATAAGCTTTAATGGCAAATAAAACTGTGGACCACTCGCCATAAAATTTTCAATTAATGTCAGTAGAAATATTTAATTGGTCACTCATTTGGTGCATTTACATCAGTTTTTGCGACAAGTTTAACAGCACTTAGCACTTTTGATATATATATGTATATATTTTTCAATTCCCCTTCATTGACTGCTATGTGTCTATATAAAATTTTCCAATTTTCAATAATAAACTCACCCGCTGTTTCTCTAATGAGCGTTGCCATGAAATATTTATATTAAATTCCTAATGAAAGAACTCAACTAATTTTCAATTAAATGCATTGCGATGGCTACATAAATTATCTGTGATATTCGATTGAATTTTCACTTGGAATTTTCGTTGGAATAATTTCATTTAATTGAGACACACACACACACACTCGCGGATTTCTGTGCATAATGAGCGGAGGCGAAAATTACAAAGGTCGTCCCTCCATCATCAGTCCGTCCTTTGCTCACAAAGCCTTACTGGCAAAGGCAATTAAAATTAATTTAAATTTACTCGCCTGTGCAAATGAGTCACTCGGAAAATGGCGAGGCTGCGAATAAAGCGAAAGAAAACAAAGGCCGATGGATGACAAGAGTTCAATTGAGGATGGATCGTGTAGAGTCTGTATTTAGTTTTATATTTCAATTTATTTTACGTAATAATCCATTGGGTTTGAGGATAATTTCTCTCTGTGTTTCCTTTGCTAATTGCCACTCCTTTCGCTTTATATTTTATTTGCAGAACTGAGCCAAGCGGAGCTGAAACCCATCCTGGAGATATACCCCAAACAGGAAGTCCAACGCAAGCCCGTGGGCAAGTCCTTGATCCTTACCTGCCGCCCCACAGTACCCGACACGGCTCTGGTCGCCGATCTGCAATGGAAGGATAATCTGAACAATACCATCCTGCCGAAACCGTAAGTTTTTAACTCAAACATTCATTCGGTGATTGGTGAATTTATTTTCTATTATTTATCAATGTAAAAAATATACACAACACAAAAAACACCACAAAACACACCACAAAATGAAACACATCACCAACAACACGAAAACACTCACAAACACACAAATTATATCGAATATCGTATTGTAGGAATTACGATCCAATGTTTGATGCCAATGGCAATAGAAAGAAAGAGTAAGTGTGCCAATGATCAGCTACCTACGAATTCCAGTAAATCAGTAAACCATCAGTAACAGCAACCAGTAACTTTAACTGCAACTGCAACAGTAATCAGTAAATTGCAACTGTAACTGCAACTGCAACCGCAAATAGCTTCAAATAAAAACAAACAAAAAAAAACATCAATAAATAGCAAAAACAATAGTACTAGTGACTGACGGATACTTTACAAGGAACTGCTAACTTTTACTTTAATTAGAACCTTACAAAAATACTTAACTTAACAGCAACTTGGATTTTCAAACATTAAATTGACTTTTTCCAACAAAAAATGTCAGTTTAATTTAATGACAACTTAATGCCTTCTTGCAAGAAATACAACATGACTTTGACAGTTACTGAAATATTTATAAATCAATATTCAAGACGTTGCTAAAGTTTAACAGCAACACTAAAAATAAACCTGACTTTGACGGTTATTAAAAAATATATATATGCATATTTTCTTATTGAGAAAATTTAATGCTAGACTCGTAGCTTTTGTTCGCCCCGCTCCTCGTCCTTTTTATGTCGTTGTTTTTTGGCATGATTAATTGTTTGACTTTTTGTTCTTGTTTTGTTGTTAACTCATCTTGATGTATTGAGAAAATTGCATTTTGACAGGCCCAAAAAACTTACCACCAGTAGTAGCATTTTAATAGGCATTTGACATTCTCCATATACCATTTTGACATCCAAAACAAATGCACACACACGCACACAAAACACACACATCTCCCTCATGCAACATACACATACATACATATCCCTCTCTATTAGTTGTTTTACTAACAATGAAATAGTTTTTTGAGTGCTCAAGAAATTGTTATTTATATTTATTTATAAATGATAAGAATAAAAAAGGGGCTCTGATTTTGGTAATAGAACTTGCAGCAAGAGGCGGAGTTGCAGTAGGTTTTTATTCCTCTTTTAGAAATTAATAAACTATTCACAACTACATATATATTTAAAAATTTAATTTCATAAGAAAAACCTCAATAAAAACCACAACAACAAAAAATAGCAAAGAAAATGCTGTAGAGAAACGTGCACAAGGGGAATGCAAATGGAAAAAAAAGGAAAAATGTGAATGCGAATTCCTAGGTTAAATATTCAGATCGAAATCTTTACCTACACCACCACCTGACTTTTCAGTATGTGCGTGTGTGTGTGTACAGGTGTGTGCGTTTGCGTGTGAAAAGCGAAATCGTGTTAATTAATTTGCCTCTGCAGACTGACCGGGTCTGGGGAAAATTCAAGAAATTTGCGGGCAGCCTTAACCCCCTGGAGAGTGCTTCACACCTGAGCGAGGGAGATGGGGGTTACCTGGCCGTTTACCACCCCGCACCCCCCTGGAATGGAATGGAATGGGAAAGGGTTCCTCCTCCTGGAAGGGGCGACACTTTCCGCCCAACCATTGCGTGCCAATTAACCTTGTTTCCTCTTCAAACTTAAGCGAGTGGAAATTTGTGTGTTTTTAGGGAATTTCTTTTATTTCCTTTTTAAAAATAAATATATATATATATAGAAGATAGAAAAATAGGAAAACATTAAATGAAACTTAAGAAAGTCTGGTATCATTTTCAGTCCGTTTTAATTATGATTGCGGTGGCGTTGGCAACCCTGTCCAGGGAAATGCAAAAGCAAACTGCAATTTCTCATTTTCTAAAACGCTGGCAACTCTTGGTTAGTTTCTCTCTCTAGCCGGAAATTTCCCTGCTTTCTGCCTACTCTTGATTGTTTTGTGTTGGTTCGGTTTTTGGTTTTTCCGTTGGGGGAAAACCCTGCTCCTACTGCTTTTCCCTCCCGTTGCTCTGGGGCATTGTTCCCGCCGCCCCTTTTGTCCTGCGTCCAGTAACGCACTGCATTGCATACTTGCAGGCGCGAAATGTAATTAAGCTGCCAAAAACCAACCGACAGCAGCAGCACCATCAGCATCCCCTCCATTTTCCCCACCATTTTCCAAAGAGAGGGGGAGGGTGAGAATAGGGGGTGGAGAGAGAGAGGGAACTGGAGCTGCAGCATCCATGGTTCCGTTTATTCCCGGCCCCCAAGTTAATTAAAACGATTAAGTTCGGCATAGTTCTGCGGCCGGGCATTGCTCGCATTTTTGGCCACGGCTTTTGGCCTCTCCGGATTTTGGTTTCATTTTTTTGTTTTCGTTCAGTTTTTCACTTGACTCTTTTCCATATTTTTTTTCTCGTTCCTTTTTTTTCCTCTCTTGAGCAACATATTTTCAGGGCTATTAGCCTGAGGGATAACTTCAATGCCAGTCGTCGATCCTTTGATGCTCAATGGGGTAGCTTTTTGAAGGGGTCAAGAGTTTGAGGAAAATGTAAAGAAAAGAGGGAAATAGAGAGCAGGGAATTACAAAGGAGTTGAATTAAACCAATTTTTAAGATTTATAAAACATTTTAATTAGAGGAGAAATTATAAAAAGTGATGAAGAACTTGAAATTATCTACGAATTATATTAAATTGCATTTGAATTAATAGTTTAAAAAACTCATAACTCCGCCAAAACAGCCTCAATTTCAATTCGGAAAGTTTTTCCGCGTTAGTTTTTGACCGGTTAATAAATCTGCATACTCAATTTAAAATGTAAAAAAATTCAAATTATAAAAATTTAAACGATGTAACCCCTTAAATTTTTTTGATAATTTTTGAAAAATGTATTTTCCCGCCTGTGTTATCTAGAAAGATTCGCCTGTTGATGCTGATCAAGAATATATATGATTTATAGGGTCGGAAATGATCCCATCACATGGTTAGAACTTCCAACTGAAATTAGAATACCCTTTCAAGGGTATAAAAATACCCCATTGCATATTAATTTATATAAAAATAATTGCAAAAAACCTTTATTAATAACTGAAATTCTCATCTTTTGTGGATAACAAATAAAATTGAGTTATAATAAAGGCAAGTGATCAATATAGCGTGAACACAAACAGAAAGAACTCTGCTTGCAGTTTTCCCTCGACTTTTCATTCCGCATTCAATAACAGCGAAAATGGCAACGAGGACATCTTTGTTCGCAACTAAAAGCCCAGAAGAAATGCAATAAAAACGTAGAAATTGCTATGAACCCGATGAAAACCCAAGGCGGCTCCAAGCCATGATGGTCCCTCTTATTTCTTTTCCTCCAAAAGAGACAATCAACAAAAACAGGGAAAAAAAAAAGAAAAGCCACCCAAAAAGAGCTACGAAAAATGGCAGGGAAATAGGGAAAATTTTGATTTTTTACGTATGCGTAACAGTTTGCCACCCGCCTCGCTTTTCTTTTATTTTCCCAAACCAATGCTGGCTTTTCCTTTCTATTATTTTTTTTTCCTTCCTGTATTTGTGTGTGTGTTTGTGCAGTTCTTTGGCGCAATATTAAAAATCCAACGCAAATATGCAGCGAAATTTTTGCACAATGTCTTCAGCCCGTCAAGCTCTCGGGGCTCCCTACGAATTTCCCATTTCCATCCTTGTATTTTCTTCGTTTTTTTTTTAATTTTTCGACAACTTTTGTTAGCATAATTTTGGGCGCGCAGAAATTACGATATTCTATGCACAATTGAGGTGAAAACTATATAATCAATAGGAGTATTTCAAATAGAAATAATTTGAGGAAAATTAATATATATGGAGGAATATACAAAGGTAGTTAAGGCTTTTAAAATCTTCAAACTGGAGTACCAAATTATGATTAAAAATGTTACACTTAATTGAGTACTAAAAAAATTAAATTAAATTAAATATATCATTGCAATTTTTATACACATTTTTAAGGTTTTAAGAAAATTGTAGGGATTGATAGAGCATTCTCTCATTTGTTTAAGTTTGTTTAAAAATCGACTCTCCAAATTATATATTTAATAATTCATTTTATTCATTCACTTAAATCAAACTGTTTTCTTGTATCAAATAAAGTCTTTTAATTAATACTACATTTAAAAAATTACTCGTTAGTGCTCTATTATTGTGGACGCTGCTGTTAAACCGCACCGGCATTCTTCGCTTTCCAAGATATGGTTATTTTTTCAGTTTTTGCATTTTTGCGAACAATTGCGAATTGCGAATTGCAAATCGAACGCAGGTTGTGCCTGTCCTCTCACAAAAACAAGGAAAAACGAAAACAAACACCCCACACAGACACACACCTACGTGTGCAATATATAAAACCAATTACAGTCGTAAAAACAAAAGTAGAAAAATAAAAATAAAAACAAAAAAGAGACGAGGAGCCAGTGACGACTGTCAAAAATTGAAATCCACAGCCGCAAAAAAACCAAGGAGAGGCTTTTCATTGACTTTGCCGCTTTTCCAAATATTGCAATTTCCTGTACTGAAAATCAAATCAAAGGAAAAAACAAAAAGTTCATCTTGTTCTTTGTAAAGCTTCTGTTTTTCTGTCGAGTATCCTTCTTGTTTTTGCTGTGTATATATATTGGTCTTTGTATTTGTTTTTCCTTCACTTTTTGCCTGGCAAAAGTCGTAATAATAATAATAACCAACCCGCCTCTATGCATATTTAGTTTGTGGACCAAGGAAACTTTTTTAATTAATTAGCACGTGGTAGTGGTTGGTGGGTGGTTGGGTGGGTGTCCTAGCAGTTCGAAAACTGTGAAATAGGCACCGGCAGGATTTGAAAAGGAGTTTTGTATTAACAACTACCACTTTATTTAATTTAATGTTTTTTTTTTTTTTTTTTGTGTTGAAAGTACATTAATTTGGCCGTCTTAGGCAGTGTAATGCTTTTAATTCGCAAAATACACAAAACAGTGCGACTTAAGACGTATTTATTTATGGTAACATAAACATATAGTAGCTGGAAATAGTTGAGAAAATGCAAAAGGGAAAATGAGCAAGGAAATGGGAACGTGTGTTTAGTTGGCATAAAGGATAAACACGCACAAGTAGATCCTTTTTGCCGAATTAATTTGTAATTATTCGTGAAACTTTAGAAAGAGCTTGAATTTGTTTTTTCTGCGGGCAAGAAATTTGATAAGGAAATTTTTAAATAAAAGGAAGAGTTAACATTCTTTGAATCAACATTTATGGATATTTTGGCATTTATATTTATATATATATGGCGATTTCAGTCCACAAATCAAAGTTTAAAAAATATCATAACTTAGCCAAAACAGCCCTTAATTTCAATTCGGACAGTTCTCCGATGTTAGTTTTTATTAGGTTAATAAATCTTCATACTCACTTTCAAATGTAAAAAATTACGATTTTTATCAATTTTTAAAAATTTTTACGACGTAACCTAACCCTTTATAAAAATTAAAAAAAAAAAAAAATTTTAATTTGTTCCTGCCGGAGATGGCAAGAAAGATTCGCCTGTTGATATATATGGGTTATGGGGTCGGAAATGACTCCCGAGAGAATTACATGCTTCTGAATCTAAATCTCGCACGTCTGCGCATATGATTCCCAACTGGTTCTAACATCCCCAGAATGAAGCTACGGCTGCTAACTGCCGGCCAACTCTTTGATATGTGATGTGTGTGTGTGTTTGTGTGTGCAATTCCAAAAGTAGCAAGTCACTACTGTACATAGTTACCAAACTTAAACTGGACTAAATGATGTTTATAATTCAAGAAGAATTACCCTTATATTTAGAAACTAATTGACTTTGTTTTAAATGATCGAATAGCCTTAAAGGCATTTAGTAAATGAAAAATCTTCCTAAACATACGAAAAACGTACCTTTAATTTATGAAATCATGTGCCCCATTTTTAAACATACTTAATTATAGGTTCGAATCGTAATCGAATCATAGATAAGCTTAAACTATGATATATGAATCGATATATCATTATTTTTATGTTACAACTTTTTCGAGTTTAAAAAACTCAAAACTCAGCCAAAAATGCATTAATTTTAATTCGGAAAGTTTTCCCGGTGTAGTTTTTGATAGGTTAATTAATCTGCATACTCAGTTACAAAATGTAAAAAAGTTAAAATTTTTGAACATTTTAACGATGTAATCCCTTATCTTTTTCTTGAAAAACTCAAAAAAAAAATTTTTTAATTTTTTTACATTAAAATTTAAAAAAATTTTTTACATTAAAATTAAAAAAAAAACTTTCTGCCGGAGCTAGCTAGAAAGATTCAGATTTAGTGCTGATCAGGAATATATATAATTTATTGGGTCGGAAATGATTCCTTCACTAAGTTTTATGCTTCTGACTGAAATTAATGTAGTAAATAATTTAAAGTAAGAAATTCACGGTAGATTTTCTTGATTTTCCATTAAAAATGTTGTTAAATAATTATCAACACTGTTATAAGCAGTTTTAAGAACCCCTCTGACTTTTGTGACACCTTGGATTAAATACCTATATTTTTACATTAAAGATTACAATTAATATTTGTGTTTCTTGGCATTTTTTAATCCCTTCAAAGTCTCTTTAAGGTTCTAAAATATTTTTCTGTTTTCTCTTTCAACACAAAATACAAAAACTAAATCACCAGAAATCCACAAATTGTTGTTAGATTTACCTGGTTTAATTGAACTCAAAGGCCATCGTACAATAAATGGAAATCAATTACGCATAAAATGTGAAATATTTTCAAAGAGAATTTAAGTTTCGATTTAGTTTTTTTGTTTGGATTGCGAAAAGCCACTCGGGGTTAACAAAAAAAAGGAAGCTAGAACGAGACCCAAGGAATTTCCTCATTCAAAGTTGCCGTGCCAAATTTGCTGGAAATGCGAAAAATATTTGTAAACGAGCTGAGGGAAAAGCGGAAAAATGCGTAGCAGCAAACACACAGCGAGATTTGAGGGGGAAAATGGCATGCAAATGAGCAGAGCTAAGTGCAGGGAAACTTTACTAACAGCAACAGCAATTGTTATAATCATCAACATAAACATAAACATAAACATAATAATAATAATAATAATAATAATTATAAGGAGAATACACACTCCTTTATATACATCTCTCTCTATATACATATATATATACTGACACCCGTACAATTGAAATGCATATTATTTCGTTACTAATACACATTCAACCATCATTGCCTTCCCTCCATTTCTCTCTACGCTTTTCCCGGAATTTTCCACACCGCATCCACACCCACACACACACAGGACGGGACGAAACCAGCCGCCAATGTACACGGAAACGCTGCCCGGCGAGAGTTTGGCTTTGATGATTCCCTCGCTGTCGGTGGAGATGGGCGGCAGATACTATTGCACCGCGTCCTATGCCAACACCGAGATCCTCGAAAAGGGAGTTACAATTAAAACTTACGGTGAGTAGCGGTTTTTGGTAACCATCCTTTCATCCTTTACCCCCCAAAAATATATGTATAACTTACATAATTTCCCCAACTGAAAATGCAAATGCAAAAGTCCCGCAGAAAATGATTATTATCATTATTATAGTCAGCGTCCATTACTTTGTTTTTGTGTTGGTCTTAATGAAATACAGAGCACTTGAGCTTTGGAATCTGGATAAAGTAGATAACTATAGAACTTGGAAAAAATAAATAATATCTAACGAGTGTATAATAAAATATAATAGGCTTACAGAAGAAAGCAATTTAGGCATAGGAAAGATTTCATTTAGATGTCAAAAAATTAATTTTTTTTCTAATTTCTATAAAATTATTTAAAGTGTGTTGTGCTGTAGGAAAGCAATATATTCCCAATTACTTGATAGTTATCATTAATTTTCAATGTTTTCTTAAGCCATCCATAACCTCAATTTCTCTTCGGATTGGCCACATTAATTTCCCAAAAGTACAGTTGCGATGTGCATTGGTTGGCCCAAAATTTGTCATTACATGTCCGTGCATGCTTGACTTGTCGTTGTCGCCATCGATTAGGGACCGCTCAACTCCCCCAGCGTCCGTGATCGGGACATATGGGGGGAGGCGAGGATCCTGTGAGTAATCGCAATTTGAAAGCGGAAAAGCGGAGCGCAACTCAACGTGATTCCTCTGCTGCTGCTGCTGCTGCATGATTCATTTATCTTGTTAGCAATTTGTGTCCCCTGCACATTGCTCTCCGCTCAAGTGGGAAAAACTGGTGGCGGCGAGGCAGTGCGGAATTACAGTTTGCCGGGATTTCATTACATGCGCAGCATTGTGAGCGAATCTAAAACAAAATGGATGCGTCCAGTGCCAAAGGACACGACCCTAGCGGACAAAGCTGAAAAAAAAACTACATACAATACAAAGCAGAACACGTTCCTCAATAAGCAGAAGGCACACACTCCCTCGAACACACCCACCTCACCAGAACCTGCACACATTTTCGTTGGCTCGTTGACTCTCTACCGACCGACCGACCAGGACTCTCTGCCTCCTCGAGTGCACATAAGTGACGCTGGAGCTCAAAACTTTTACGAGATTGATTTTTCTAAGCAATTTAAAGTTCGTACTCATTGCACACATTGCACAGAGCAAAAACCACTGGTAGCTGCGAGCTGCCTAACCCACCATCAACTACTGTCCCTATCTACTCACCTACACCTGTCTCTACCTGGTGCCCTTTCAGGTGCAAGAAGAGAGCGGATGACTGTCCGACTGTAAAGAAATAGTGAGCCAGTGCTCGTTTTCGTGAAATGTGAGAAATCCTGGACTGTTTCAGACAATTGCAGAGAAAGAAAATACTTTAAACTGCAATCTCAGTTTACTATCTTTAATAATTTAATTAAATTCAAAGGCTAAACTGTTTATGATTGCTTTTCACAAGTTCTTCTTAATTAATTCCATTTATATCTCTTGTAAATCCTGCTGTCTGAGTAGGTTTATAAAATGAAATCCAAGTTTTCTTCGGTGCAACATGCATTGCCTTCGCTTTCATGGTACTACTAGATACATAGAGGGCGTGAGCAAACCTGTATTGAGAGGCCCAGGACCTCGGGTTGGTGCGTTTGAAATGAAATCAAATATTTTGCCGGGCAACAATTTGTGCCCGTTGATATGGGCACCTGGAATCGGAGGAGCTTACTACAACAACTACTAGACTGTGGCAGGAATAGTGGCAACACTCCACTTTGGATCGATGTCAGGCAAACTGTTTGACTTGGAGTTGACTGCCTAGTTCTCTATGGTCTTCTCCATCGCGTTCCATCTGAAACGAAGGGGGGAGAGAAGGGATCAAGTGCGCGTATGGCAGGACTATAAAATGTATACAATCAGTATTGACAAATGCCAGGAAAATTCCACTTGTCATCAGTGTTGGTCAGCGCGAGCAAATGTCCTTTCTGCAATGAGTACAACTTAAAGGCTTCCACAAGCGCACTCTTTTTTTCTGCCTGAAACTTTTAAAAATCTTTAATCCTTGATGAGATTCATCGTTTTTTTTTTTACCTAGTTATTGCTAAGCAAGTTGCAGATCCTAATTGGCAGTTAGTGTTGTTTAGCGTCAGTGTTGTTAAATGACAGGCCAGGCACAGCTTAGTTTTAAGATCCTTCACAACTTTGCGGCCTGGTCTGCTTGTAGCTCAAGCCGCTTTTCCTCGAGGAAAACCAAGCTGACCAACATTCAAATACAAAGGCCTAACAACAAGTTAGTTATCAACACCGACAAGGAGCTAAACTCAAGGAACGCGCACAAGGATGTGGCACCAGGCAACAGGATCCCCAGGATCTGGGGGAAGCCAATGGTAAAGTAACTGGCATTGTGTTGACAACTCACAAGTTGCATTTAGTTAAGCAAATAAGCAGCAGACACACTGCGACAGAGACAGACAGAGATATGAAGGCAAATTGCAGGATTTACTTTGGATGCACTGAGAGAAATGTAATTCAAATGCAAGCTAGCTAATTGTAAAATGTATAATATAGTTTTGTAAATAATACCTTGCATTAGAGGTAGATTTATTATGGGGGAGTGAGTCTTTGGTGAATCTTTATAACTTTTATGAATACTAATCTCTCAGTGTACTAAGGCACACACATGAGCAGTGGGTGGTTAGGTGCCTGGCGGTTGGTACATATTTACATACCGTTGTTTGTGCCAGTCACAGCTTAATATTTCAATATTTATGCTTTTAATAAATGCATATGCTCGAAACAAACTTCCGCCAGAAAAGCAAGAGCAACAGAAACCGAATCACAGGAGTCACTGCAGAACCTATATGTATATATCCTTATTTATATATATACATATATAGTAGAAGCAACTTCCGCTTTAAGTTACTAAGTCGCAAGTGCTGAAAGTTCATGCAGTAGCAAGTGTGGTGTCTTTAAAGCCTTTTGTGCATTAATTCAATATTTATTCGCCACTCTTCAGTACATTTACAGTATGTATCATACTACATACATACATATATGTATATATGTATATTAGTGGCACTCAATCCTGGTGGCTGATAATTGCCAACATCCTTTTGCTTTTGGTGGTGTTCGCCATGTAATTGCCACTAATAATGTTGATTGGTGTCATTAGAGAGTTCGAGTTTGCTGCCTTGCACTTTCCTCGATTTAACTAACTTGGCCAACACAACTACTCAACTGAGCAATTAGCCATACTTCCGGCTTGGATTTCGGACTTTGAATTAGCCAAAACTCTGGCCGCAGAATTGGGTTTTGTGTTAGTTTTGTTTGTTATTTATACAAGTACATATGCGTGTGTGTTTCGGTCAAAAGCAAACTGTGATTTATTATAGCATACTTTTCAGCTCCAGTGCTGGCCTAATTGCAAAATGATTAATTGCCAATATTTATTGATTAAGATAATATGCAGGTAAACATTGCCAAATGCATTAGGTTAAGTAGTTAAAGATTTGAGTACGAAGCTCTGTGCTGAAATATTGTTAAAGCATTTCCCTTAGAATATACTGCAAATCTATTTTAAAATGTATCTAATGTACCAGAAATTGCAACAATCTGTTCGATTTTATCAGCACTTTCGAAATTCCAAAATCCGGAATCCGGTTTCAACCTGGGCAGCGGTAATTTGAAGCCATTGCCGGCGCTCATCCTTCCCAAAATCAAACTGCAGTCTCTGCTCCTGTTGCTTCTATTCTCGCCTAGTCCTTTTCCTAGTCCTTGTTGAGCTATTTTTTTTGTTTGTATTTCTATTTTTATTTTTAATAAGTTGCTGCAGCAACTTTTTCAATAAGTTGTGTGAGTCATGTTATTGGTGGTATGGCGTCTTCGCCGCTTACCAGTTCCGGGAGTCCTGGTCTTCTGGTCTCCTGGGTGCCTGGGTGCCTGGACTCGCTGCCTTCTTGTCCCTGCTCAAACTAATAATGAAATCGTAAACTAGTTCATCTTTTTTCCCCGGAGACTCTATGTGTGTGTGTTTGCTGCCCATCAGACGTCAGAAACGAACGCAGCCAGCGAAAAGTGTTTGAACAACAAAATCTCACACGCTACGACAATGCAGTAGCGCAACTGGAAACTGAAAAGCGCAAGACGACAAGGGGGGAAAACTGAGGGGGAGGGGGAAAAGACGAGGGCACCCAGGCGAAAGTAAGGGGGAAAATCCAGGGTACAAGGAAGGGAAATGACAGGAGCAGCAGCAGCTCTGGCACAGGCAAGTTTTTATTTATTTTATATGTTGTGCTGCTGCTGCTGCTTCACCCACAGTAAGAGAGAAATCTATACAAAAAAATGAAAGAAAACAGGAGAGAGGGGAGAAGAGGAGCTAGCCAGGATGCAGGAGCAACTAGAGCCCAGACACTGCCAATAAAAAACTGCAAATAGAAAATGTTTTGAACACAACTTTCCGTTATTTTGGCATTGGCTTTGGATTCTTCTTTTTTTTTTTTTTTTTTTTTTGCTCTTGCCAGAAACCGAATATATCCCCGGACATGGCAGCTTTCGGTTACGAGTATATGTAATATATATATATATATAGAAAGATATGTACAGATAGATGGCTTGTTATTACACTGATTTATAAATAAAGTGTAAATATTTGAGCCACACAAACATATTTTGGAATTGAAAGTCTGCCAATGATGGATAACAGCCGAGAAGGATTTGTTGAGATTGCCTTTTCGAATGCAAAAATATAATGCCATATGATTTTTAAATCCATTCACGCAGTCAGTCAGACAATCAATCAGTCAGTCATCCACTCTATCAGTCAGTTAGTCATTCAGTCATTTTTACACCTGCCAGCAGAGGGATCCTCTTGGTCCATTGGAGAATTCCAAGCCAGATTTACTTTCTGGACTCTGGAAATAAAATATTACACAAGTTTAAATAAATAATGTTTTATATGCTATTCAAACATATACTAAGCTCTGCATTATTACAGAAGTATCTGTATATTTTTAGAAATAAATATTAAAGATGGAAAAAGGGGAAAAATATACAGAACCAGAAACAGAATTAACTTTGAGAAGCAGCTTTATACCTTAGCAGTTTTTCATTTAATTATAGGATCAAATCGGAAATCATAACTAAGCTTAAAATATTCACATTCTAGTAATAAATATTTATAATTTTATATGGTAATTTTTGCCCACTAATCAAAGTCTAAAAATGTCATAACTAAGTCAAAAATGATTCAATTTTAATTCGGAAAGCGTTCCTTTGTTAGTTTTTACCAGGTTAATAAGTCTACAGAATTAAAAAAAAAAAAAAAAATTTAAATTTTTTTGAAAATGTTAACGATTTAACCGCTTAATATTTTATTGAAAAAATTGAACTATTTATGTTTCTTTAAAATATAGATATATTGAATCGACTTTTAATGCTGATCAAGAATATATATGATTTATGGGATCGGAAATGACTGCTTCACTGCATTATAATCTTCTGACTGAAATTATAATATTATTCTTTAAGCCGACATTTATCAATATTTTTTTCGACAAATCAAAGTTTAAAAATCTCATCACTCAGCCAAAACTGCCGTAATTTTAATTCGGAAAGTTTTCCCTTGATAGTTTTTGATAGGTTAATAAATCTGCATACTCAGTTTAAAATTAAAAAAAAAATCAAATTTAACAATTTTAACAATGCAACCCCTTATTATTTTTTTTTTTTTGTAAAATTCGAAAAGAAAATTAAAAATTTTTTTTCGACTGGAGATAGCTAGAAAGGTCCAGCTTTTAATGCTGATCAAGAATGTATATGATTTATAGGGTCGGAAATGACTCCTTCACTCAGTTTTATGCTTCTGACTGAAATTAAAATACCCTGTAAGAGAAATGTAGGAAACACTATTTAAACCTCGTGTCCCCTATAAAAATGACAATGATAATAACTACATCTCATTTATTTTACATGAATAACATTCCTAAAATGTATCCTTGACTAAGCTTCAATAAATTAAAGACTTGTTGAATGACTTTTCTCTGAGTGAGCACACAACTGTACCTGCCATATTTCCCTGACTTTATATTTTAGTTTCGCTTTGAGGCCTCCTTTTGATTATTTTTCCTTCATTTAAAGTAGACAAGTCCGACGTACAAGACGACCTTCCGCTTCACGCCTTGACTTTCAGCCTTTCAGCTTTGTATAGATTTATATATATCTATATATATATATATCTTTTTTTTGTATTTCTTACAGTCCCTAAGGGACGACGCCCCCTGTTTATCTGTGTGCAAGTATTTGATTTAGGAATTTCACTTTCGCAATGCACTATTCTTGGTCTCTGCTCCCTGGACTCACTTGGCTCTTACCCATTTTCAATTTCCAAGTCATCTCTGCAGTGGAGATTTATTGGCAGGCAGTCCTGGCTCCTGCGTCCTTCGTCCTGCGCTCGTTAGTGTGACCCTTAAGAGGGGAGAGTTGGAGTATTGTCGCGCACATGTCTTGGACTTTGCGCCTGATGCTTGAATTGCTTTTATGTGCCCGACAGTTTGTTTAAAATTATATTACGTATACGCCACGTAGCACCAGCTCAGCTTGGATTGTCAACAAAGAGATAGAGAGAGAGAGAGAGAGAGAGAGGGAGATGGAGAAAGAGGAAAAATGGTTTCAGGAAAAGCACTGTCCTCACGGCGCTTGCCTTGCATTTTTTTCCTAGTTTTTCCTCGCCCGCTTCTGCTGTGCAAATGAATGCGAAAAAGCAAAATCAAACAATTTGCGGACACCTTTAGTCCAGCAATTGTGCTGTCCAAACAAGCACTTGAAAAATATATATATTTTTCAGTTTTTAAAATGCCATAAATGTGAATATACGTATTTTTATTAAATGGAACTATGGAAAATCAAGGCATATTCTTTTAATTTAATCACTTAAAATGCCCAAAAGTGTGATAAAGGTTTCTTTAGGTTTTCCAAAATAAAAATAATAGAGAAAATAAAAATCTTCTTGTTTTCCAATAATTTAAGAATTCCACAACCATTTTCATTCAAAATTAATGTTATTTGTTTCTTATTGCTCCCTACAGTGGCCATTACCTGGACAAATGCCCCCGAGAACCAATATCCTACCCTGGGTCAAGACTATGTGGTTATGTGTGAGGTCAAAGCCGATCCTAATCCCACAATCGACTGGCTGCGCAATGGAGATCCGGTGAGTAGGAAAATCTTGTCCTTCAAAATGCCACAAGCTAACACATTCCCTTCTAGATCCGCACTGGCGACAAATATGTTGTTCAGACCCATGGCCTGCTCATCCGTGATGTTCAGGAGGACGATGAGGGCATCTACACCTGCCGGGCGGCTGTGATTGAGACAGGTGAACTCCTGGAACGTACCATTCGCGTGGAGGTCTTCATTCAGCCGGTGATTGTGTCGCTGCCCAGTGAGCTGGAGGCCACCGAGGGACAACCCTACGCTGCTAATTGCACGGCAACTGGTAAACCAGTGCCAGAGATAAGCTGGATCCGTGATGCCACCCAATTGAACGTGGCCACTGCCGATCGCTTCCAGGTTAATCCCCAAACTGGTCTGGTCACCATCAGTTCGGTAATGCAGGAGGATCATGGCACCTACACGTGTTTGGCCAAGAACAAGGCCGGTGTGGTGGATCAAAAGACCAAGCTGAATGTCCTGGTGCGTCCGCAGATTTATGAGTTGTACAATGTGACTGGAGCAAGGACCAAGGAGATTGCCATCACCTGTCGGGCCAAGGGTCGTCCAGCACCGGCCATTACTTTCCGACGATGGGGCACCCAGGAGGAGTACTCGAATGGCAACCAGGTGGATGATAACAGGATCACATTGGAGCGTTATTTCGATGAGGAGCGCGGCGAGAGTACCGGCACCCTGCGCATCAACAATGCTCAGCGCAGTGACGATGGACTGTACCAGTGCATTGCCAGGAATAAGGGATCCGATGCCTATAAGACTGGACATATCACCGTTGAATTTGCTCCAGACTTTAGCCACATGAAGGATCTGCCGCCGGTATTCTCGTGGGAACAGCGCAAGGCGAACCTCAGCTGCCTGGCCATGGGTATTCCCAATGCCACCATCGAATGGCAATGGAATGGTCGCAAGATCAAGGAATTGTATGATACCAACCTGAAGATTGTCGGCACCGGACCCCGCAGTGATCTCATCGTTCATCCCATAACGAGGCAATATTACTCCGCTTACAAATGCATTGCCACCAATATCCACGGCACCGCTGAGCACGATATGCAGCTGAAGGAGGCCCGCGTTCCAGACTTTGTATCCGAGGCCAAGCCTAGCCAGTTGACAGCCACCACAATGACCTTCGATATCCGCGGCCCGCCCACCGAACTGGGCCTGCCCATTCTGGCCTTTAGTGTACAGTACAAGGAGGCCATCAATCCGGACTGGTCGTCGGCATATAATCGCAGCTGGTCACCGGACTCACCGTACATTGTGGAGGGACTGCGGCCGCAGACAGAGTATAGCTTCCGGTTTGCCGCTCGCAACCAGGTGGGACTTGGCAATTGGGGTGTCAATCAGCAACAGTCAACGCCACGCCGCTCGGCCCCGGAGGAGCCCAAGCCCCTGCATCATCCCGAACAGCATGACCAAGAGGAGCCAGTTGTTGTCTCCCCGTACTCAGATCACTTTGAGCTGCGCTGGGGTGTGCCCGCTGACAACGGGGAGCCGATCGACAAGTATCAAATCAAGTACTGCCCGGTAAGTGTGCAGATCAAACTTCCACATTCATCAAATAAAAATAATTAAATAAATTATGTATCTATCTATTCAAGGGTCTAAAGATGACCGGCACTTGGACGGAGCTGGAGAACTCTTGCAACACCGTTGAGGTCGTAGAGACCACATCCTTTGAGATGACACAACTGAATGGGAATACGTATTATCGCATCGAGCTGAAGGCACATAATGCCATCGGTTATTCATCACCAGCATCCATTATCATGAAGACGACACGAGGTGAGTCCGATTCTGCTAATAATAATCTCGGCACGTTGCTCTATTCGGCCGGGTTCAACTCCGGCGTCGGTGCGCTACACAAACGACTGTTCACACCTACCACATTTACATCGACAACAACAACCACAGCCACATCGATAACAACAGCAACAACAGCAATCATTACGCTGGCCACCACAATAAGCATAACATTACTTAGTGTTCTAGCCTCAATGTTAGTCTAAAAATCAAAAGAAAAAAAGCACATTATTAAGGAGGCAAATCGAGGGATCGATGGGTCGGAAATAGTGTGTACACTTTGTAATGTCTGCATCCGGTGTGTGACAATTTCTGTCGATAGCAACGGGTGCAGAACATTGCCTGGACATCACTGTTTATCGGTCAATCGACCCTTCGACTTGAAGAAATTCCAAAAATGATCAAAACGAATCTTATCCCAGCAAGAACATGAAACATATATATATTTAACTAAAAGAAATCTCTATATACACTCACTCTCACACACTCTGAGACCCATCTACATTGAATATATATATATATATATATATAGATAAAGACATAATTTTTACTGCTCTATACTTATATATATGAATATATAGTATGAATATGATATATATCCCAGATATAATCAATCAATATTGCATACATTTTTGTAGTGTTCATTTCAATTGCGTTTCAATCCTTTTGTTTTTTGTTGTTCACACTCAGTGTATCGTCCCCCGCTCCCCCATCCCGTAATGCGTCTCCTGTCCCCATGTGTATCGTAATTGATACATTTGTGTTACTTTAATTTGCTCAACGTTTATACTTTATTTAATTTGTCCTATGTTCTGAAGCATTCTGTTTGGTTTTGCATGTTTTTGTGCGTTCTGATCTGTCTAGAGCATCTATTCCCTAATGCCAATTAATCAGTAAGCGTCCGTAAACCCTAAAATTTTTATCAATAACTTATGATAATGCGTACATTCCAACCGACATGACCGACACACACCCACACTGAGCCCAAAATACAGCAAAAGGAGAAAAGAAAAGCAGCAAAATGCTTTAGTGTTTGCAACGCATTTGATTTCGAGCATTATATATTTGATTTGAGCCCCAAAACTTCATATTCACACTTCGCAGTCAAATGCAAAGTTCACACCAGAGGGCGCGCACGCACTAGCAGTGGCCAAGCAGTGCGCATGCGTGCGTGCCTCAGTCAGCCGTTGTATAGAATAAATGTGAGAGATGCGCATCACGAATTCAACCTTAGCTTACCTTAATTACGCTCCATTTTTTTTTATTACCAATTTTAAGCATTTACTTAATTATAATTACCAACACTATACATAACATTACAAGAAATCTTTGTGACGCGAAATTTACATATATAATTTTATATTTTTGTGTGTGTGCATATTCATCACAGTTTTTTTATTGTAATATTATTAATGAAACAACAAGAACTCTGTTAAATGTAAAACCTAGTACATAAACGAAAAGCGATGACAAAATTATCAAACAAAAATTACAATTATTTTCTTTTCTGGTTTAAAAATTTGACTATTACCACTAGAGTTTTTCATTATTATAATTATTATGACTATAATTATTTTTAACACATCGCGTATGATTTTGAATTAATTTGATTTTGTGTGTATACTGCGTCTACTACTACTTCTTTAGTTAAATTCTTCAATTATAAGCAAAATGAAAAGTTTCTCAAATAAAACATTTATATATATAAAAAAAAGAAAACCAAACGAAACAGACTGTAATTTACTCATCTCTTTTTTATTATCAGTTATCTGCCTGCGTCGTCTCTCTCTCTCTCTCTCTCTCTCTCTCTCTCTTTCTATCTCTGTCCTTGTCTATCTGTTGCTGTCTCTGCCTTTCACTCACACTGTTTTCTGTTCGCTCTCGCCGTCGATTTATTGTCTTCTTTTGTTGCTAACTTTAAGTAAATGTTGTGCGTAGTTTGTGATTGTTTTGTGTGTGCCATATATTTCTCTGTCTCGTTCCAATCTCAAGTTTCCACTCACCATTCTCCACTTTTTCCCCGTTATCCTGACAGATCCTGTCGCCATTCCCATTACCATTTACTCCCGCTTTTACCTAGACATAACCTCAACTTTAATAAGTAAACTCTTGATCTTTGGCTAACCAGTGGACTTAGTGTGTGCATCTAATTAGGCATTTAGTCATAGTTTATTATACGTATTACCTACCAACAAGAACAAGCAAAAACTCAACTAACACATTTTGGTCGAGCAACAAGTTCCCCCTTTGTTAGAATAACAAAACACACACCCACCACACTTGAGACAAACAAAAGAAACAAATAAATAAACAAAAACTAACAAACAAACTAACCATAACACACACTCTCGTACACACACACACTACATGCACATTGTGTTTCGATTCGTCGCCGTCGTCGTCTCAGTAACCAAAATAATAAAAAATTTAAACTAAAACCCACAAAAAAAAACCACCAACAATTTAATGTGCAATGAAGACCAACCAAAAACAACAACAAAAAATTGTTCTTTTGTGTGTTTCCTTTTCTTCCTTTTTCTTCTACCACTTTTTCTTCCTTGTTTTTTTTCTCTCTTTTATGATGTGTGTGTGTGTGTCTAAACCACAACAACAACAAAATCTCCCACTAAAAAATTAATGAAAAATAATTGTAAAAAATACCGCAAACCAAAATGCGCCAAACAAAACAAAAAAATCAATTCGGATTATCTCCAAAAAATACGAAAACAAAAATCAAAATCGGAACAGATAATCCGCATCCCCAAAAATCGAGTGGCGCCCCATCCTTGGCCCGACTGCTTGCTCTCTGCGCTGCCTTGCCGATAATGCTGATCCTGCTGCCGCCAAGGACGCCGCACACTGCTTAAAGGACTCCTTGCCCCCAACGCCCCCCCCCCACCCTTAGAGATTCTGCCACACACACACACGCGAGCGAAAGCAGTGCACTTGGAGGATCCATCCGCTGGCCGTGTCTATCAAGGTTTTCCTTTCTCTCGTTTTCCCCCTGTGTTTTTTTTTGGGTGTGTTAATGTGTAAATAATAAGGACAACCAAAAAGAGATACAAAGAAAAAAGGAAACAAAAAATACGACAAAAAAAGAAAAGCAAAACAAAATAAATAATTAAATAAGAGCGAAAATAAATGATACATTTAAATGGCATGAAATGAAGCGGAAATTTAGAGTTATGTTAACTGTACTCAAATAGAGAATATGATCAATAGGAATATCACTTGGGGCGGGTAATGATTCCATTAACTGTACAAAATAAAAGAAAACCCAATAATAATAATAATAATAATAATAATACAAAAGAAAACATTGATGAATTGATGGGAAATGAAACGGATTGCCAAAGCCGAGTCACAATGCTTACACAATGATGATAATGATTGTACTTACGTATTCCCCATAATCCTATGTCTAACCGCTAGAGACCATGTTTAACTACCACTAAGCCGATGTTAAGTTGTTATTTAGTTGTATACCTATATGTATATGTATGTGTATAGCGAGAGCATTTATTATAATTATTATTATTATTATTCAACTCCGAAGCAGTCCCGTTCCGCTTAGTTCAATGTGAATTTTACAACACTGCCAAGCGAATAACTTAAACCAAATTTATACATACAATATATATATATATATATATATATATATATGAGAAATTTTAGCAAAATTCTACACCCAAACGTAAAAGAAAAAGAAGAACAAATTAATATCAAGTGCATACGAGTACAACAATTAAATTTACACACGTTTACTGACATCTACGATTAGCCAAAAAGCTTCTTCCCAAACAGTTTTTTACGAAAGAAGGTTTGTTCTGTTTTATTTTTCTTTCGAAAGCGCGCAAGTGTATGAACACGTTAAGAGAGGGGACAATAAGTAACTCAAACTAAGTTTAAAGTGCGACTATGGCTAATTACGAATTTTTGCTCACGAACACAAAACACTACACTACGATTTGAACTTTCGTTGATAGCGTTTAGTGAATGCCAACTAGAGAATGCAAACTCGACTTAGACGAACCGATGATATTCCTGTATACACGCGATTTTTTTATAGCAAGCGAAATCGATTTTTCTAGCCAAATATATATATATTATAAATATTATCGTAAATCCAACAAAAAGAAAAAAAAAAGCAATTTATACCTTTACAATATCTAGTTATACATACGTATACACCATATAGTTAGTGAATAATTCAGCCCGCCTAACGTTGCTGATATGGGGATAGTGTTTGTCTTTTTTTTTCTATATATATATATATTCTTAGTTCCTCGATCCTGTCGAGGACAAGCACACACTGGAATACATACATATAAAAGCAAATGAAAATTGAGGTGTCATGATAAATGTTGTAAGCAAAACGAAGAGAAAATCGATCACGAAAGCCTACCACTTAAGCAGTTGATTTTTTGGGTAATAAAGAACAAAATTTGAACAGAAAGCAGTTCGTGCGTGTGTGTGCCTTTGGGGTTTGCCAGGGTTGCCACCATCAACTTGGATGCAATTTCCGCTGCCGCCGCCAGGTAACATCAGGATGCGTAACGTAACACCCCCGTTTAACCATGTTATTCTATAGTTACTCGTTTATATTTTTTTCTTGCTGCACTGCACACAAGACACTAACAGCCCAAAATTGTATTTTCTCCACAAAAAAAAGTAATATATATAAACAAAACCAAACAAAGAGAGAAAACTGTTAATAAAACATTCCTTATTGTTGATTGTTAATTGTTGATTATGTTTATAGTTTAAACCAAAAGAAAAAGAAAAGAAAACAAACCAAACCAAACCAATTACCTTGCAGCACTCTAGCCAAACGATCCCCCATATGTCCCATATATTCCTATATCCCTTATCTATATATCTCACAATATACATAATCTTTACACCTAATGTACAAAAAAATTGAATAATAAAAGAAAAACAGTTGCTGCTAAGTTGAACTGCCTAACACTGCTTGTATACTTTGCATATTGGCCTAATTCTGTATTTTTCTGTATTTTGAATATTTCCAATTGTAAAAAACCTAAAAAAAAAATAACACAAAAGCGTTTGATAAATCCTTTTTATTTCTGCTTTTTACACTCTTAAACTCTATCTCTCTCTCTCCCTCTCTCTCTCTCTAAAGGACACATTCTCCTTGCCTTTTCCACGCCATTTTCCCCCAAAAACTTTCCACATTCTTCCCCCCTTTGGCTGCATGCTTTATTTGTATCCTGTTAACCTGTTATCCTGAAAGCAACCTGTATATCAATTCCGTTTGCTTTGTTTGAAACAGCTTTTCGTGTTATGTGAAATTGGTGCCATTTATTATTTGTTATTTATTATTATTTATTTATGATTTATTTATTATGATTGCCACTTAATACTATGTATTGCTCTTATCACTTTGATTTCGTTTGATCTTGGCTATTGTTACTGTTACCGGTTAAGTTTCTAATAATTTCGAAACCACCAAATAATACACACACAAAAATGTAAAATATTAACCAGCATTTAAGATCAAACAAAAAATGAAAAGACAAACTTAAGCGAGTGTTTTTTTAAGTGTGTAAGATTAGCATTTAAATGGAGTTAAGGAGAGAAGAGGAGAGGAGTCTCCTAGGCTAGTGGCTTGTACCACCTAGAGATAAACGCCCCTTGTCCCGAATATCTTTCTTTCTGAGTATGATAATCTTATTAATCAAGTACCCTTTGTTCCCTCCCCCAATTCCAACCATAACCTTGACGAATCCTCCTGTAATTTGTAAAACAAAAAAACAAAAAACAGGAATCGATGTCATCCAGGTGGCAGAGCGACAGGTCTTCTCCTCGGCAGCCATCGTTGGCATCGCACTCGGCGGCGTCCTGCTGCTCCTCTTCGTGGTGGATCTCCTTTGTTGCGTCACCGTTCACATGGGCGTCATGGCCACCATGTGCCGCAAGGCCAAGAGATCGCCATCGGAAATCGACGACGAGGCCAAGTTGGGCAGGTAAGCTAAAAGCAAATTTTTAATTATTACTATTATTGTTATTGAAATATTTACACAAAAAGGAAAAAATTAGAGCTTAGAACAAGTGGGGGGTTAATTCGGTTGCAATATTTGTGGATTTTTAATAGGATTTGATCCGAAGGTATCATCTTTACCAAAAAACTTTTTTAAACGAAGTGGAAGTTCTAAATTGTCTTCTAAAAACATAATCGAATCATACGAATTAAACTTAACTAAATATCTGAAAACATCAATTTAAAAATTCACTAATAAAAGAAACTGTGAAGTTTAAATTTAAGTAATATAAAATCATAGTTAACAATACAAATTAACATCGAATTTGGTTCCATTTTTAACTAATAATAATCGATATAGCCCCCTCAAAAACATCTCGTTTATTAACTAGACTTATCCTATTTTTTTCTGTGTATTGATGTAATTGAAAAGTGTTACAAATATTGCACTAAAAATCCGAATCGGAAATCGAATTTAACGAATTTGCTTATTGCCTTCCGTTGTGTTTTTTTTCCCGCTCCCTCACACGCTCCGTATTGCGATCGAAAATCGATAATCGACAGGCGCCAGGACTTCGAGTACAATTGGGTCTATGCGCGGCCCAAGTCCTTGTTGTTCAATCGCAATTCCCTGATATCCGTCTGAGAGATTTGGACAAAAATCAGTGCATTGTTCAAAATTTTAAAATTAACTAAGCTTAACTTAAAATCTTTCGTTTGCCCTCCAATTTTTAGTGCAATATTAAATGTTATTCATAAAAATTAAATAAGAACAACACACAATAACAAATCACAAGTTAAATTTTTCAATTTGTAGACACAATACACAGACTTTGGCTTAGTAAATGATTTCCTTAGTTTGTTGCCTAATTGTACAAGATTGTTGCATTGTTATTAAATTAGTGTGTGTAAAATTAAGAAATTAAAAAACAAAAAAAAACAAATCTATAGAATTAAGAGTTCCAATTGAGTATACATAGAGAAGATAGGCTCTTTCTATGTTTTTAAACAAAAGAAATTAATAAAATGTATTTTATGAACTTAAAGTATTATATTTACTCAACTGAAGCTCTTTTAAACATATCTAAAATGTTAAAAAATTACATTTTAAACACATTTGACACACACACGCATTGTTTCATCATACACATTCAACACCAAGCTATATCTATGTGTTCTTCTCTCTCTGCTAAATACTAAATCAAACCTCATCATGTATTATTCCCACCACACACATCCATCATATATCAAAATCAAAACCAAAAAAATCAAAAACCGATCAAACCAATACCAAAACCAACCAAAAAACCTCAACCATCTAACCTAGCAGTCTTTATGGTTGGCGTTTTCCGCTACCTTATTGCAGTGGCCAGCTGGTAAAGGAGCCGCCACCGTCGCCGTTGCCACTGCCGCCGCCGGTCAAGTTGGGCGGTTCGCCCATGACATCGCCATTGTACGTACCCCCCTTACAGCCATTTCCTTATCCGTTTTTCGTTTGCCATTTCCATTTCCGTTTCCGTTTTCGTTACTCTCTGATTTTGACTGCCCGCCCTGGGGTCTCTCGCTTTCTGCCGCTTCCTGCATCCTTTGCCTCTCTGTTGTGCTCCTTATCATACGCTATCGCCTCGATCTATATATATATATATATATATAGTATAAACCTCATAGGTCATATCCTCATTTGCAAGCACTGCATGCCGCCATTTTAGTTATTTATTTAATTGAAAAGTTCTTTCTAACGCAACAAGTATAACAACTTTAAGTTATTAGAAATTGATATAAAATGTATAATTTCTTCACTATGTTGATTAATTGTTTAATTTGTATCTTAAGTAAATATTTTTCGTTATTATGATCTTGTAAAGTAATTGAAAGCCAAACAGTTGCATTTATTAATATGTTTAAAAGTGAAAATAGGAGAAAAATGCTTAATTTTAACTTTTAAAAGAAGAATAAAGAAATAAATTCTACCTATTTGGCAGTGCCTTATTAGTAGTTTCTTTAATTAAATTTTAATTAATTAATTTAACAATTTCTTAGCTTTTTAATATATTGCTAGCATATATGTTATATGCTATATGCCGTACTACTTTTACATGCAAAATATAAATAGTTAAAAAAGAATTAAAGGAAACTAATTTCGGGCAACCGAAGTTTATATGCCCTTGCAGTTTTTAATTTATTTGTAGGATAAAATCGGAAATCGATTATAACTAAGCTTAAAATATTCGCTTTTTGAATCAATATTTGTAAATATTTTTATATGCAATTTTTTATGGAAAAATAAAAGTTTAAAAATCGCATATCTTAGCCAAAACAGCCTTAATTTTAATTCCAATGTTAGTTTTTAGTAGGTTTATAAATCTGCATACTCAGTTTAAATTATAAAAAAAAATTCAATTTTTGGCAAATTTTTGGAATTTTTAACGATGTAATCCCTTATAAAATTTTGAAAAATTAAAAAAAAAATACATTTCTGACGGAAATGGCTAGATCGATTCAGCTTTTAGTGCTGATCAAGAATATATATGATTTATAGGAAATGACTCATTCACTAAGTTACTTACTTTAGTTACTGTTTATAACTAAATGATATTGTCCTTGCAAGGGTATAAAAAAAACAGCAACAGGTAAGTGTCCTGCCGCAAAGCAGTGTGCACTGCTTGGCATGTGTAGAGCAGGCAGCTTTGCATGGCTGCAAGCAGTTCTTAGCTTGGAATGACCGTTGAGCTTCAAAATTCAAAAAGGAAATAAATCAATTTACTAATTTATTTCATATATTTATTCACAGAGATGAAAAGGAGCCGCTGCGCACACCCACCGGCAGCATCAAGCAAAACTCAACCATTGAGTTCGATGGACGCTTTGTGCACTCGCGCAGTGGCGAGATCATTGGCAAGAATTCAGCGGTGTAAATCCAAGGATTCGGAGTTGGAGCTGAAATCCCAGGATCCCAGGATGGATGTTAACGTGCACAAAGACGGACCGAAAAGTGAATGCTGGAATGAGAAAGATACAAAGATACAGATACAGATACGATCAAAAGCCAAAGAACACTTGAATATCGCATCGATTGGCACTCTGAGTTGGTTTTTCATTTACTTTCGTACACGGCATAAATCTAAACTAAATGTCTCTACTATAAATGCATACGATATCTAAAGCATCTAACATCAAACACACACGTAGCACACTAAGACCGAACAAACACAAGGATGGCAGATTAAGTAATAACTCCATGTCGCTTCGTTTATCTAGTTTAAAAACGTTTGAGAGCCTATTCTTTGCATTTGCTTTGCCTTTCTTATCAAAACCCTCACACACATACACACACTCACACGGACACAATAAATTTACAAAATAAAGATTAAATATATAGAGGAGTAGAATGAGACGAGAACCTAGCCTAAGTAATACATATATATATATATATGCAAAAAGGAAATCTTAAATTAATGCCTTACAAAAGAAACAAACAAATTATTACATTTATTTAGCAGTTAAACGTGACAAAAAAAGAGGAGGAGGAACGGGTGGGATTTATGCATGTAAGCCGCAAGGAATGATAAAGATTTCTTTAGTATAACTAACTTAAACATGCCATAAATAAGTTTAAACATTAAGTTTGCATTGATTGTCATCATCTCCCCCACCACCCACCAATTCGTAGTATGTACTTAAAAAAAACACGCTGAACAAAAGACTTGCGAGCATTTCATTCTCACTCTATTGAAGAGAAATGAAAATAAATAATATACAAACAAAACACAAAAAGGACTTGAATATTTTAGTTTTTTTTTATATAAAAATATAAAGAAATCCTTCGTTCCCTATTCGGTAACTCGTATACTTAATCGCCAGAAAATACGGCACTTAATGAAGAATGCTCAATGTATATTAAATTGATGTTTTAAATTGTCCAAATCGAAAATGTTGACAAGCTGCTTAACGATTACGTTGCCGCTTCCGTTTCCTGTTCATCCCTCGCAAACCCACTACACAAAAATGACAGTTAAAAATGCTTAAAAACTAAACTAAAATTAATTAATTAATTAAAATCTAAGTTAGTAGAGAGCAAAACGAGAAGGATAACTAGAAAGTAACGAGTAGAAAAAGGAGAACGGAACGATAACGAGAGATTGCCAAACATCCACTTATCATTTATAATTCATCCTTTCATCGATGCTCAGTTTTGTGTTACAAGTATTTTCTTATATGTATGTAAAAATTAAACAAATTATATGTTAAGCGATCTAATGAATATATAAATCTATAAATATATGTATGTACATGTATTTAAAAGTTACTTGTAAGCCTTTTTTTTTACACACAAAACGGAATAATTCAAGAATAAAAATAAAAAAAAAAGGGAAAAGAAAGTAAAATACCTATTATATATATCTGTATGTGTACAAGCCGATCTGAATGTATGTATATGTATGTATAATCCCATAAAGAAAGCGCAGTTTATTTGAAAATCTCAACACCCATCCATCCCATCGTAGAGATCAGATCCCTGTTTTTCTGGTTTTCCCGCCCACGAGCTTTTGTAGCTTCTGTTGCCGTGCCAGAGCTTTTTACCTTAAATATATTATAATATATTATATATACAATCCAGTCGGATTATACGGATCGAGGATAATGGAAATGGAGGCTACACACCCCACACACAGATCTGTAATTAATGTGTAAATTCTCTGCTCCTTGCCAATCGAGCGAGCGTGTGTGTGTTTGCTGCATATGAAATATGCATTGCTTGCAGGAACAGGAACAGGAATCTATATGCTATATCATATATAGTTCCGTTCCAGCGGGCAGCAGCAGAGTGTAGCTTTTTATAATGAAAACTAAACTATAAATTGAAAGAAAAATTATACATACAAAAGGGGGAAAAATAAATCGTATTTACTGTACCATAATAATTCCAAAAACAATGTTTTATTCCTTCTTAAAAACAAACTGAAAGTAAGTACTTTTCTATTCATTTTATTTGATATATTAAGCATTTCTTATTGACATTGAACAGGAGGCACAGATGGAGGCTAGCTTTCAGGATGCATTTTGGGAGGCACTTTCATGGGACGACTTACAACTTTGATTTGATTTTGAGCATTATACTAGAGTAATCTCTTTCGCTAATACGTCTAGCACAGCAATATATTCTCTTATTCTATAAACTATTGTGCTTTGGGCTGATCAATCGATCACACTTGATAATAAAATCATTTTTAGCAGTAATATTTACAAACAAAATGCTCTTTGTGCCTCATTTTGCTTAAAGTTGAAGAATCAAACAAGAAAACAGACAAAAACCTCTGTACTTAAGTCAAGGTATTGCTTTTGATTTGAATTTTACAAAAAGTAAGCAAAAATTAAATAAAATTAAACGTTTGACTTACAAATCTGATCAATTATTTCTTTAATACTAAGGTGATGCTTTAAGTAGGTAATTGCACTTAGACTAGGCGGAAGTATACATCTGTTTCAATTGAGTCTGCGAGAAAATCAAAGATTTCTGGCGGATATTAAATAAATTCACTAAGAGGAGAAGAGGATGGGGACACTGGCTAAGTATGTACACCCGGCTGGCTGTAACAGCGGTCTTTTTCGATCTGCTTACACCTCCATGCCGCCGTCGGAACGCTTGCCCTGCTTCAGCAGCGCCTCCTCGGCGGTGAGCTTGGTCTTCTCGGTGCGCGTGTGCCACACGAGCACCTCACGGCAGCCATTGGCCAGCGGCTGCAGCTTTTCCCGGGTGGTCAGGTGTCGCAATATCTCGCTCTCTTGATAGCCGCGCTGCACTTCGTATGAGAAGAGGGCTTGTGGATTGCGTATAAACAGATCCATGCTAATGGCAAAGGCGGCCATATCAATGGGAAAGGGTCGTTCCGGCCGCCAGGCGGCATTGAAGCCAATAACCTGCTTCTGATCTTCACTGAGATACGGTCGCTCCACCATCAGACCGCCAACGAGGCCCACTGGCCAGACGCCGACGCGTCCCCGTTGTATTTTCGACATTTCGGTAAACAGCTCCGTGGAATATGAGTTGTCGTCATCCATAAAGAACACTATCGAGTGCTGGTCCGTGTTGACGTTGTTGCGCAGCCAGGTGAGCGCCAAGTTGCGCTGCTCGACGCCGCGTGGCTTGATCCAGTTGGGATCTTTGCCCTGCAGCTTGAACTCGGGCGGTGTCTTGATGTTCAGCTGCGTGGAGCGCTTCCCCAGGCCGGCGCGCTGTAGCAGCCCAGTGACCAGGGGACTAGTGGCATTTGCGTCTTCCACAATGATCCAGTGCAGATGCGGCAGCAGCATGAATAGGTGCGACAACCTAAGGGAGAAAATGCGGATCTTAAAAGGAACTTTGGGAGCACGTACTGGCCAACCTGGTCAGTTCCGCCTTCTGAGCGGGTCGCGTATACGTCGGCGTCACAGCGTAGATGGTCGGCAACGTATCCGCCTGTGCGTACATTGTCTGCAGGTAGTCCGGACCCTGGCAGGTGCGCTTCCCATTCCGGTGCACCATCATTAGAATCACCAAGAAGACTATGATTAGCACCAGCACCTGGCGCGGCCGAATGCGGACTTCCGACATCTCTCTGCTGCTTTGCCTCTGCACTTTTCTAAGTCCCTAAAGCCCTAAAATGGTTAAAATTGTTTGTTTACTTTATAAGCTAAGAAAAGGTTAGGTGCAGTGTGCCCGCCCGATTTCCCGGCTAAAATCCTTAATTACGTCAATCAATGAGCGTTTTTTTTCCTCAACGGCATTGCTGGTTAGACTTAAATGTACCGCACGAATTTGAATTATTTATGTTTCTCGGATGGCTACTGAGATAACAACATCTCTTTTACAGCAACTACAATTTACAATTTACTACAACAAGAGACAACAGTTCCATGTGAGCTGATCAAAGCTCTCTAAAGCTGCATGTCAGAAGCCGATAGTCAAAGCTGCACATGGTTGCAAGCTACCAGCGGAAAGTCAAAGCGGTCAAACTTTGATAAAAAGTAGTGAAAAAGGAGTTGGTTACACTGCAAAACGCTTGTGGTAATGCTTATGTGTGCATTTCCGGTTGTGTTTGTATATGTTTACACCTGCCATTAATAACGCGCATTAAATCCGAATCGGAATAATTTCAGGTGCTATTAATTTGAAAAAACACCCTTAATTATTGACATATATAATGTCAGCACTGAACAAGGAGCCAGCGACGGCGGCCAACTGAAAATCGGTGAATATGCATATATGTAGCTTTATTCATTATTAGCAAAACATGGTGTTCGGTGATGAGATCACCATGGCTTCAGATAGCTGCTGACCGTCACAGTTGCACATAGCTGCACGCCATCACCTGTTCGTCACAGTGGCATATAGCTGCACGTCATTAGCTACACGTCATTAGCTGAATGTCGCTGCTGCGCATGGCTCAATAATGTTGGTTGATCGTCGCTGCTGCACATGGCTGCAGGCAACCAGCTGAAAGTCAAGGCGGTCACACTCCGAAGAAGGTAGTGAAGAATGAGTTGGTCACATTTCAAAAAGCTTGTGATAATGGATATGTGTACATTTCCGCTTATGTCACGCACATTGCGCCGGAGTCGGAATAATTGTAGTTGCTATTAATTTAAAAAAACACCCTTAATTATTGGCATAAATAATGTAAGCACTGAACAGGGATCCGGCGACGGCGGCCAACTGATAATCGGTGAATATGCATACAGCTTTATTCATTATTTGCCAAACATGATGTTCAGTGATTAGATCACCATGGTTTCAGATAGCTGCCGACCGTCACAGTGGCACATAGCTGCACGGCATCACCTGAACGTCACAGTGGCATGTAGCTGCACGCCATTAGCTGCACGTCATTAGCTGAATGTCGCTGCTGCACATGGCTCCATGTTGGTTGATCGTCGCTGCTGCACATGGCTGCAGGCAACCAGCTGAAAGTCAAGGCGGTCACACTCCGAAAAAGGTAGTGAAGAATGAGTTGGTCACATTTCAAAAAGCTTGTGATAATGGATATGTGTACATTTCCGCTTATGTTTGTCACGCACATTGCACCAGAGTCGGAATAATTGTAGTTGCTATTAATTTAAAAAAACACCCTTAATTATTGGCATAAATAATGTAAGCACTGAACAGGGATCCGGCGACGGCGGCCAACTGATAATCGGTGAATATGCATACAGCTTTATTCATTATTTGCCAAACATGATGTTCAGTGATTAGATCACCATGGTTTCAGATAGCTGCCGACCGTCACAGTGGCACATAGCTGCACGGCATCACCTGAACGTCACAGTGGCATGTAGCTGCACGCCATTAGCTGCACGTCATTAGCTGAATGTCGCTGCTGCACATGGCTCCATGTTGGCTGATCGTCGCTGCTGCACATGGCTGCAGGCAACCAGCTGAAAGTCAAGGCGGTCACACTCCGAAAAAGGTAGTGATTTCCGCTTATGTTTGTCACGCATATTGCACCGGAGTCGGAATAATTGTAGTTGCAATTCATTTAAAAAAAAAATCCTTAATTATTGACATAAATAATGTAAGCACTGAACACGGAGCCGGCGACGGCGGCCACTAAAAATCTGTGGAAATGCATTCAGCTTTACTATTTGCTAAACATGATGTTCGGTGATGAGATCACCATGGTTTCAGATAGCTGCACGTCATCAGTCGATCGTCACAGTGGCATATAGCTGCACGTCATTAGCAAACGTCGCTGCTGCACATGGCTCCATGTCAGTTGATCGTCGCTTTTGTACATGGCTACAAGCAACCAGCGGAAAGTCAAAGTTCCTGTCATAGGGTTGACAAAATAGCTATTTTCTAGCTGAAAGCTTTAAGCTCTGAGCTTTAAGCTCTGCTACAATATAGCTAAACAGACATCTCTAATTTGCACCTCTTGCACTAAAATTAATCAGCTTTCTGCTGATTCTGTTCGCCTGGTATTTCAGGTTGAAAATTAAATGGACTCGGACCGATTTTTGACGAGATCGAAGACTTGGTTTTTGCCTACAACAACAACAGTGCTGAAACAGACCAAATTGAATGCTGGGTTTTTTCTGCAACAACAATAAACAACGCTTTTACGACAATTTTAAATTAAAACAACATCAAAAATAGACTATATTAAATATGTTTATTTCACTTTTTGAGTGGTTTACATTTATTCGTTGATAAGCAGCTTCTGCTACCCTTTGCCGTTCGCCCTCTTTGTTAACCGCCTCACGTTTTCGGCATTCTTGTTGATCAGGCTTTCCCACTGGGCAATGAGGCCTCGCGATGTGCCTCCATGTGCGTCAGATCACAGAGCTGGCCCATCGCTGGCTCCATTGGCTGTGTAGGCGGCTGCATTCCGGCTGCGATTGCCATCGGGCTTGTGTACGATCTCCGGTTCGTTGCATTGCGCAGTTTTTCAGGTCCATAGCAGTGCTCCACCTCAGAGTCCTCATCGTCAACCTCGTCCGCATCGGCCTCGTCTGTGCTGAGCTGGCTGGAAACGAAAAAACGTATGATAAGAGGGATTCTTGAAAGCCTAGACGTGTACTCACAGCTTGCCCAGCGAAGCCTTCAGTGTGTTCTGCCTGTTAATCTTGCGCAGGCGCTTTAGGGCTTGAGGTCCTGCAGCTCCTGCTGGATCTTCTGCTCAACGCAACGGGCCGCCCTCTAGGTCCCGCTCGATGGCTGCCGGTAATAGGGTGACCGTGGTAATGTCCGTTGGCGAGTTTCCGTGCTCCAGATTGCTCCCAGAGCTGGTAATGTTGCCCAATGGCAAGACGTGCGGCAGCGGACTATTGGTTGTCACCAGCTTGCCATGGGAGGCCATAAACCGCTGCATCACGCCCTTGGTAGGGCAGGCCGGTTAGCTGCGGCATGGAAATGGTCCTGGTGATGGGCTTCTGCTGCGGCGGCTCCGTTGTCAAGTAGCAGTCCAATGACCAATGTAACGCTGCTCCTGGCGGGTGATCACGGTCAGCTTGAGCGGCTGCTGCTGCTGCTTGGCCTGAAGGTTGTTCTTGCTCTGTGGGGAGGCCGAGATGCCCGAGTCATCCGAATGCTGGTCATCGAGGCTCTTCTCCTTGGCGCTGTTCACCATAGAGGTCACTGCCGCCGGCTGGGCTGTGACCAGCACGCCCTGGTCTTGGTCCAGCTCATCCTGGTCCTAATGCTGCTCTTTGGTGCATTCACCATAACCCAAGCCGTAGGATGTCAAAGCTGCACGTGGTTGTCTGGCAGCAGTTGATCGACGCTGCTCCACATGGTTGCATGCCGACAGTCAAAGTTGAACTTGGTTGCGTGCCAGAAGCTGATAGTGAAAAATGAGCTTGTTACACTACAAAAATGTAAAAAAGATGATATACATACAGGACGTATATGAGGCAGGTCACTCAGCTGCGGCATGGAAATGGTCCTGGTGTTGAGTTTCTGCTGCGGCGGCTCCGGTGTCACGTTGTAGCAGTTGGTCCAACGTAACGCTGCTCCTGGCGGGTGACCACGGTCAGCTTGCGCGGCTGCCGCTTGTCCTGGAGGTTGTTGTTGCTCTGCGAGGAGGCCGAGATGCCAGAGTCAGCAGAATGCGATTCTTGTTGGCGCTGTTTGCGCTAGTGGCCAGCGAGGGGGTGTTGGTTAGCTCATCAATGGGCAGCAGAAGTAAAGTGGTCTGCACTGCCGCCGGTCGGGCTGTGGCCAGCACGCCCTGGACATGATCCAGCTCATCCTGATCCTGTGGCTGCTCCTGAGTGCATTCACCATAACCAAAAAACGTAGGATGTCAAAGCTGCACATGGTTCCATGCCAGCAATCGATAGTCAAAGCTGCGTTTGGATGGATTCCAGCAATCGATAGTCAATGCTGCATATCGTCACTGATCGACGCTGTTGCACATGGCTGCAGGCAACCAGCTGAAAGTAAAAGCGGTCACACTTCGATGTAAAAGTAGCGAAACATTACTTGGTCACACTGCAAAATGCTTGTGATAGTGGATATGATCTCACCTTTTTTAAAAGAAGTGATGGCCGCCTCAATAACCGTCCCGTTCCCGGCATTCTTGATCAGGCTTTCCCACTGGCAAAGAGGCCTCGCGATAAGGGCTCCTCCTTGGGCGTATATAGCAGTGCTCCACCTCAGAGTCCTCATCGGCCTCGTCTGTTCTGAGCTGGCTGGAAACAAAAAAACGTAAGATTATAAAAGGATTCTTAAAAGGCTTGGCGTGTACTCACAGCTTGTCCAGCGAAGCCTTCAGTGTATTCTGCCTGATATTCTAGCGCAGGCGCTTCAGCTCCGTCTCGCGCTACTTGAGGTCCTGCAGCTCCTGCTGGATCTTCTGCTCGACGCAAAGGCCTGCCCTCTGAGTCCCGCTCGATGGCTGCCGGTGGTAGTTGCCGTTCTCCAGGAAGGCCAACGCAGCGCACGGTTTAGCTTGAGGGTGTTGCTGTTGGTGTTGTTGCTGCTGACTTCCATTCTGATTGCTCCCTAGGCTGCTTCTGTTGCCCCATGGCGAGACGGGTGGTAGCGGACTATTGGGTGTTACCAGTTTGCCACGGGAGGCATAAACCGCTGCATCACGCCCCTGGTAGAGGCAACACCGAAGGCCAGAAGGCACCACTGACGCTTCTGGGGCAGGCCGCTTAGCTGCGGAGTGGAAATGGTCCTGGTAATGAGCTCCTACTGCGGCGGCTTCGGTGTCATGTTGAGGCAGTTGGGTCCAATGTAACCCTGCTCCTGGCGGGTGACCATAGTCAGCTAGAGCAGCTGTTCCTACTGTTGCTTGGACTGAAGGTGCTTGTTGCTCTGCGAGAAGGCCGCGATGCCAGAGTCATCAGAATCTGTGCTGAGCTGGCTGGAAACACAAAACGTAAGATGATAAGAGGGATTCTTGAAAGCCTTGACGCGTACTCACAGCTTTTCCAGCGAAACCTTCAGTGTTTTCTGCCTGTTAATCTTGCGCAAGCGCTCCAGGGCTTGAGGTCCTGCAGCTCCTGCTGGATCTTCTGCTCGACGCAACGGGCCGCCCTCTGGGTCCCGCTCGATGGCTGCCGTTAATAGGGTGACCGTGGTAATGTCCGTTGGCGAGTTTCCGTGCTCCAGATTGCTCCCAGAGCTGGTGATGTTGCCCAATGGCAAGACGTGCGGCAGCGGACTATTGGTTGTCACCAGCTTGCCATGGGAGGCATAAACCGCTGCATCACGCCCTTGGTAGGGCAGGCCGGTCAGCTGCGGCACGGAAATGGTCCTGGTGATGAGCCTCTGCTGCGGCGGCTCCGGTGTCACGTTGTAGCAGTTGGTCCAATGTAATGCTGCTCCTGGCGGGTGACCACGGTCAGCTTGAGCGAGAGCTGCTGCAGCTGCTTGTCCTGGATGTTGTTGTTGCTCTGCGAGGAGGTCGAGATGCCCGAGTCAGCAGAATGCGGGTCTTGTTGGCGCTGTTCGCGCTAGTGGCCAGCGAGAGGGTGTTGGTTAGCTCATCAATGGGCAGCAGAAGTAAAGTGGTCTGCACTGCCGCCGGTCGGGCTGTGGCCAGCACGCCCTGGACATGATCCAGCTCATCCTGATCCTATGGCTGCTCCTGAGTGCATTCACCATAACCAAAAAACGTAGGATGTCAAAGCTGCACATGGTTCCATGCCAGCAATCGATAGTCAAAGCTGCGTTTGGATGGATTCCAGCAATCGATAGTCAATGCTACATATCGTCACTGATCGACGCTGTTGCACATTTTCGATGTAAAAATAGCGAAACATTACTTGGTCACACTGCAAAAAGCTTGTGATAGTGGATATGGTCCTACCTTTTTTTAAAGTAATGATGGCCGCCTAAATAACCGTCCCGTTTTCGCCATTCTTCTTGATCAGGCTTTGCCACTGGGCAAAGAGGCCTCACGATGAGGGGCCTCCTTGGGCGTCGGATCACAGATCTGGGCCAGCGATATGGCCGGACGCATCCCATTAATGCTGCCATTGCTGGCTCCATTGGATATGTAGGCGGATGCATTCGGGCTGCGATTGCCAGCGGGCTTGTGCACGATCTCCGGTTCGTTGCTGTCGATATAAGAATGAAAATTCAATGAGAAACGAACTCCTTTAAGTAGGTTATCTAACACTTGCCCATTTCTATCCAACTCCTGGGTGGACTGGGCATTGCGCAGTTTTCCGGGGCCATAGCAGTGCTCCACCTCAGAGTCCCAATCGTCAACCTAGTCCGCATCGGCCTCGTCTGTGCTGAGCTGGCTGGAAACGAAAAAACGTAAGATGATAAGAGGGATTCTTGAAAGCCTTGACGTGTACTCACAGCTTGCCCAGCGAAGCCTTCAGTGTATTCTGCCTGTTAATCTAGCGCAGGCACTTCAGCTCCGTCCCGCTCGACTTGAGGTCCTGCAGCTCCTGCTGGATCTTCTGCTCGACGGGCACATAGCCTCGACGCAACGGCCTGCCCTCCGAGTCTGACTCAATGGCTGCCGGTGATAGGGTGACCGTGGTAATGCCCGTTGGCGAATTGCCGTTCTCCAGGAAGGCCAACGCCGCGCGCGTGTTCAGCTTGAGGGTGTTGTTGTTGCTGCTGACTTCCATTCTGATTGCTGCCTGGGCTGCTTCTGTTGCCCCATGGCGAGACGGGTGGTAGCGGACTATTGGGTGTTACCAGTTTGCCACGGGAGGCATAAACCGCTGCATCACGCCCCTGGTAGAGGCAACACCGAAGGCCAGAAGGCACCACTGACGCTTCTGGGGCAGGCCGCTTAGCTGCGGAGTGGAAATGGTCCTGGTAATGAGCTCCTACTGCGGCGGCTTCGGTGTCATGTTGAGGCAGTTGGGTCCAATGTAACCCTGCTCCTGGCGGGTGACCATAGTCAGCTAGAGCAGCTGTTCCTACTGTTGCTTGGACTGAAGGTGCTTGTTGCTCTGCGAGAAGGCCGCGATGCCAGAGTCATCAGAATCTGTGCTGAGCTGGCTGGAAACACAAAACGTAAGATGATAAGAGGGATTCTTGAAAGCCTTGACGCGTACTCACAGCTTTTCCAGCGAAACCTTCAGTGTTTTCTGCCTGTTAATCTTGCGCAAGCGCTCCAGGGCTTGAGGTCCTGCAGCTCCTGCTGGATCTTCTGCTCGACGCAACGGGCCGCCCTCTGGGTCCCGCTCGATGGCTGCCGGTAATAGGGTGACCGTGGTAATGTCCGTTGGCGAGTTTCCGTGCTCCAGATTGCTCCCAGAGCTGGTAATGTTGCCCAATGGCAAGACGTGCGGCAGCGGACTATTGGTTGTCACCAGCTTGCCATGGGAGGCATAAACCGCTGCATCACGCCCTTGGTAGGGCAGGCCGGTCAGCTGCGGCACGGAAATGGTCCTGGTGATGAGCCTCTGCTGCGGCGGCTCCGGTGTCACGTTGTAGCAGTTGGTCCAATGTAATGCTGCTCCTGGCGGGTGACCACGGTCAGCTTGAGCGAGAGCTGCTGCAGCTGCTTGTCCTGGATGTTGTTGTTGCTCTGCGAGGAGGTCGAGATGCCCGAGTCAGCAGAATGCGGGTCTTGTTGGCGCTGTTCGCGCTAGTGGCCAGCGAGAGGGTGTTGGTTAGCTCATCAATGGGCAGCAGAAGTAAAGTGGTCTGCACTGCCGCCGGTCGGGCTGTGGCCAGCACGCCCTGGACATGATCCAGCTCACCCTGATCCTATGGCTGCTCCTGAGTGCATTCACCATAACCAAAAAACGTAGGATGTCAAAGCTGCACATGGTTCCATGCCAGCAATCGATAGTCAAAGCTGCGTTTGGATGGATTCCAGCAATCGATAGTCAATGCTACATATCGTCACTGATCGACGCTGTTGCACATTTTCGATGTAAAAATAGCGAAACATTACTTGGTCACACTGCAAAAAGCTTGTGATAGTGGATATGGTCCTACCTTTTTTAAAAGTAATGATGGCCGCCTAAATAACCGTCCCGTTTTCGCCATTCTTCTTGATCAGGCTTTGCCACTGGGCAAAGAGGCCTCACGATGAGGGGCCTCCTTGGGCGTCGGATCACAGATCTGGGCCAGCGATATGGCCGGACGCATCCCATTAATGCTGCCATTGCTGGCTCCATTGGATATGTAGGCGGATGCATTCGGGCTGCGATTGCCAGCGGGCTTGTGCACGATCTCCGGTTCGTTGCTGTCGATATAAGAATGAAAATTCAATGAGAAACGAACTCCTTTAAGTAGGTTATCTAACACTTGCCCATTTCTATCCAACTCCTGGGTGGACTGGGCATTGCGCAGTTTTCCGGGGCCATAGCAGTGCTCCACCTCAGAGTCCCAATCGTCAACCTAGTCCGCATCGGCCTCGTCTGTGCTGAGCTGGCTGGAAACGAAAAAACGTAAGATGATAAGAGGGATTCTTGAAAGCCTTGACGTGTGCTCACAGCTTGCCCAGCGAAGCCTTCAGTGTATTCTGCCTGTTAATCTAGCGCAGGCACTTCAGCTCCGTCCCGCTCGACTTGAGGTCCTGCAGCTCCTGCTGGATCTTCTGCTCGACGGGCACATAGCCTCGACGCAACGGCCTGCCCTCCGAGTCTGACTCAATGGCTGCCGGTGATAGGGTGACCGTGGTAATGCCCGTTGGCGAATTGCCGTTCTCCAGGAAGGCCAACGCCGCGCGCGTGTTCAGCTTGAGGGTGTTGTTGTTGCTGCTGACTTCCATTCTGATTGCTGCCTGGGCTGCTTCTGTTGCCCCATGGCGAGACGGGTGGTAGCGGACTATTGGGTGTTACCAGTTTGCCACGGGAGGCATAAACCGCTGCATCACGCCCCTGGTAGAGGCAACACCGAAGGCCAGAAGGCACCACTGACGCTTCTGGGGCAGGCCGCTTAGCTGCGGAGTGGAAATGGTCCTGGTAATGAGCTCCTACTGCGGCGGCTTCGGTGTCATGTTGAGGCAGTTGGGTCCAATGTAACCCTGCTCCTGGCGGGTGACCATAGTCAGCTAGAGCAGCTGTTCCTACTGTTGCTTGGACTGAAGGTGCTTGTTGCTCTGCGAGAAGGCCGCGATGCCAGAGTCATCAGAATCTGTGCTGAGCTGGCTGGAAACACAAAACGTAAGATGATAAGAGGGATTCTTGAAAGCCTTGACGCGTACTCACAGCTTTTCCAGCGAAACCTTCAGTGTTTTCTGCCTGTTAATCTTGCGCAAGCGCTCCAGGGCTTGAGGTCCTGCAGCTCCTGCTGAATCTTCTGCTCGACGCAACGGGCCGCCCTCTGGGTCCCGCTCGATGGCTGCCGTTAATAGGGTGACCGTGGTAATGTCCGTTGGCGAGTTTCCGTGCTCCAGATTGCTCCCAGAGCTGGTGATGTTGCCCAATGGCAAGACGTGCGGCAGCGGACTATTGGTTGTCACCAGCTTGCCATGGGAGGCATAAACCGCTGCATCACGCCCTTGGTAGGGCAGGCCGGTCAGCTGCGGCACGGAAATGGTCCTGGTGATGAGCCTCTGCTGCGGCGGCTCCGGTGTCACGTTGTAGCAGTTGGTCCAATGTAATGCTGCTCCTGGCGGGTGACCACGGTCAGCTTGAGCGAGAGCTGCTGCAGCTGCTTGTCCTGGATGTTGTTGTTGCTCTGCGAGGAGGTCGAGATGCCCGAGTCAGCAGAATGCGGGTCTTGTTGGCGCTGTTCGCGCTAGTGGCCAGCGAGAGGGTGTTGGTTAGCTCATCAATGGGCAGCAGAAGTAAAGTGGTCTGCACTGCCGCCGGTCGGGCTGTGGCCAGCACGCCCTGGACATGATCCAGCTCATCCTGATCCTATGGCTGCTCCTGAGTGCATTCACCATAACCAAAAAACGTAGGATGTCAAAGCTGCACATGGTTCCATGCCAGCAATCGATAGTCAAAGCTGCGTTTGGATGGATTCCAGCAATCGATAGTCAATGCTACATATCGTCACTGATCGACGCTGTTGCACATTTTCGATGTAAAAATAGCGAAACATTACTTGGTCACACTGCAAAAAGCTTGTGATAGTGGATATGGTCCTACCTTTTTTAAAGTAATGATGGCCGCCTAAATAACCGTCCCGTTTTCGCCATTCTTCTTGATCAGGCTTTGCCACTGGGCAAAGAGGCCTCACGATGAGGGGCCTCCTTGGGCGTCGGATCACAGATCTGGGCCAGCGATATGGCCGGACGCATCCCATTAATGCTGCCATTGCTGGCTCCATTGGATATGTAGGCGGATGCATTCGGGCTGCGATTGCCAGCGGGCTTGTGCACGATCTCCGGTTCGTTGCTGTCGATATAAGAATGAAAATTCAATGAGAAACGAACTCCTTTAAGTAGGTTATCTAACACTTGCCCATTTCTATCCAACTCCTGGGTGGACTGGGCATTGCGCAGTTTTCCGGGGCCATAGCAGTGCTCCACCTCAGAGTCCCAATCGTCAACCTAGTCCGCATCGGCCTCGTCTGTGCTGAGCTGGCTGGAAACGAAAAAACGTAAGATGATAAGAGGGATTCTTGAAAGCCTTGACGTGTACTCACAGCTTGCCCAGCGAAGCCTTCAGTGTATTCTGCCTGTTAATCTAGCGCAGGCACTTCAGCTCCGTCCCGCTCGACTTGAGGTCCTGCAGCTCCTGCTGGATCTTCTGCTCGACGGGCACATAGCCTCGACGCAACGGCCTGCCCTCCGAGTCTGACTCAATGGCTGCCGGTGATAGGGTGACCGTGGTAATGCCCGTTGGCGAATTGCCGTTCTCCAGGAAGGCCAACGCCGCGCGCGTGTTCA